CCTGAAATGGATTTTCCCAGGACAGGAGAACCAGGATTCCCAGGGAGAAGGGGTAGGGAAGGAACACAGGTCACTGGTAATCCCTCGTGGACACCAAAATCAGGTTGGGGCTGGTTTTGCAGTGGACGTGGACAGCGATCTGGCCTGCATCACATGAGTAGATCACCCAGGAATCCTCCTTAGCTCCCTAAGGCACAGTTACCCACACTGAGGTTGGACAGTCATAGGTTGGCCTTGGCCTTGGGATTCCGAGGCCAGGAGCCCTCTCTTGTCCGCTGTGGGTGGGGAGAGGGGGAACAGTGGCTGGAGGCTGATGAGATAATGCCTAGCAGGAATCCCCTCCCACAACCTGGCTGGAAGGACCCCAGAGCTGAGCCTTTGGTGTTTCCCACAGCATCTTTCGTTCGCATGTGATGGCTCTTACCTAGCACAGTGAGACGTGCAGGCCGGGACCGGATGGCAGCCTGGATGGCCTGGCACTCATACACAGCATCATCCTGCAGCTCTGCCCGCAGGATCTTCAGGTGGTGCTCCCCTGACAGATGGTTCCCCACCACCAGGTACTGGGGGTAACCTGTGGGAGACAGCAGGTGGATGAGGGAGGCCAAAGAATCCTCCCTCTCCAATTTACTTCTTTAGCCTAAATCCAAGTGACTATTTGGAGATGGTGTAGACACCACAGAAGGGCTCTGAAAGGCTGTTTCTGCAAAAAGAAATGTACACTTAGTAAACAGAGGACACTGGCAGAGGCTTTTCTGTCTGATCCTGCCACCTGCCTAGGAAAGATCTTTTCACAGGAGGGAGAGCTTATGGGTCTGACACCTGGCCCAGACAGAGAGGACCGCAGGTGGCCTTCTAACGACTTAGATACCTTGGAAGCTTGATCTGCAAAATAACACAACCTCTACCAGGCACATCTTATCCCCTCTTCTTCCATAGCTTGCATCCCACCTCCTTCCAACAGCCTCAAGTGCCTGTTTCTTTTCCCTGTAACTCAAAGTGCTATTTAAGCTTCAGCTATCTGGTTCTTCCTTTGAGTCTCATACTTTGTGGATGGCTCCTGTGTTTCTGGATGTTAATCTATGTGTATATGGGGCTGGGGCCTGCCTTGAAAGTGCAAAGTCCTGAGTTCGATCTCTGGTACCAAAAAAAAAAACAAAAAACAACCAAAACCAAAAACAACAATAATACACTTGTATGCCTTTATCTCTGTTAATCTGTCCATTGCCAGTTTACTTCATGGGTTAAAATGGTTGGATCTGCAGAAGGAAAAGAGAAAATTTAATATGTCTCCCCGCTGTGTGGAGGAACATTTGGGACAAACAGAATAGCAGTGGGGGCTTGGGAAGGGAGTGTAAAAGCCAGAGCTTCACAGGGTATGGGGCAATGTGTGTATGTGTGTGTGTGTGTGTGTGTGTGCATGCGTGCGTGTGCATGTGTGATGCTACTGTTGGTTTTAAGTTTAGGATGACTATTAGAAAGGAAAGGAAGGAGACACAAATGCTAATTGTGGTCAGATATAGCTAGTTGGGTTATTGCTCTGGAAAGTGCTCAGTGCTGTGGTCTGCTAAGTAGATATTCATCATTGTGATAAGGAGACAAGTGAGGAGGAAGAGAGAGAGGCCAGCTTGAGATTTGCAGAGAGAAGATAGAATAAGAGAGAGAAGGAAGGAAAAAAAAATTTGGAAAAGAATCAAGAGTGACTTTTGGGGCAAGGTTTTGTTCCAGGATGGACTGGAAGTAGAAATCAAGGCCCTGGTGAAGCTCTGGGCACTTTGAACCATAAACAGCCCTTTTCTAGTGGCTTTTTTAGGTACCAAAGATTGAATGAACTCCGGACCTTGTGCTTTTGAGCCAGGCACCAGAACCACTGAGCTAAATCCCCGGCCTTTTTCTAGTTACTCCTACTACCCACCCATGAGCCCCAGGGCCTGATTAAGCACTTACGAGTTGCTCAGGACACTTAGGAATTTGGGGCCCCTTCTACCACTGGT